TACTCAATTTTGCATGCTGTGATTTCATTTTTTCCTTTAGTATATAAAAATTGTCTTATGAGCTGGATTTATACTTAAGCATCCTGTGCACATGTCTGCTTGAAGAGCCCAAACAGTTTTTCTAGTTTAAAGAATTCGCTTACACTAATCACATTTGTGCTATAATGAAATAACTTTATTTGCCATAGATCATCTCTCTTAATTTTGCCTGTGGGACAAAACAGCCTGTAATTATATGTATAAATTACAATATGTAGTGCTGTTCCCTTACATTACAAGGGATTAATTAATTGATTGGGAAGAACGCTGATGGGGTCTTACAATATTTTTGTTTCCCTAAACACGTCTTAGCCTAATGTATGTGTTTATTAAGTGGGAACAGATGCCTGTGTAGTCAGGCCTTCGCCCTTGGTTTCCGAGGTTAATTGTGCCCTTCTAGGCTTTCCTTGTAAAGATACTAATAGTCATAGCAGAGTTGTAATCGTAGAAGCATTGGAGGTGGTGGCAGCCATAATGAAGAAGATGATAATGATGATGATGTCGTTTAGGAGTTCTTGTATTGCCATTTATTAAATGATTACCATGTACTGGGAAATATGCATACGGTTTACATGAGTTTTCTTTCCACTGCACAAACCAGTAAATGGAATCTTCAGGCAACTTCCTTCCTCACACACAGCTGCTTCATTCTTGGGAGTAGTGTGGCAGTGACCTTCTAGCCATTTACGTAATACAGGGAGGGGCTGGAGGTTGGTCCCAGTCTCTTCTCCACACGGGTGTAATTTAGCCAGGCCTGGTGGTGCATGTTTGTAATCCCAGCACTCTGGAGGACCGAATAGGGAGGATCACAAGTTTGAGTCCAGCCTAGCCAATTTATTTATGTTTTCCCCATGTTCATTATTTTATTTAACTCACTGCAAGCAATAGGTACTTGCTGTACTCTTAGTTTTGTTGAGAAAAGTACAAAAGCAATATTCAGTTATCAATTTAACTTTGAACTGGGAGCTTCAAATCCCTACTCAATGGTATAAGTGCCTTATTAGTCCCTTAACTCTATCAGTGTTCTTTTGTTAAAAATTAATTTTATTGGTACATTTTTGGTATACAGTGTAATGACATTCATCATTGGAAATCTGCACCTTCACATAATCTCTCTAGGTTCTTATTTTTCCCCTTTCCCCTGCCCTCCCTTCAACCCCTCCATCCCTCCCTATTTACAAAGACTTTGTTTCCATTTTTTCATTTTCTCATATTAACTCCATTCCCTTCTTTTCTTTCCCCTGCCCTTCCCACTTCCCCTACCCCTCCCACTTCCCTTTCCCCTTTGCCCCTTTTCTTCCTATTTCACGTTATCTATTATACCTTTTAGTCCTTATTTACACTTTCAGTTTCTCACACCAGAGAAACTATTCGGTATTTACACGTGTGCATCCTATTTATTTCACTTAAGAGTATTGCCTTAATGTGCATCCACTTAGCTATAAATGTCTCTAATTTCTCATTTATAATGGCTGAGTAGTACTCCATTATATAAAATATCACATTTTCTTTATCTAGTCTCCAGTTGACGGCCAATTGGGCTGCTTCCAAGTTTTAGCTATTACAAACTGTGCTGCTATGAACATGGGTGGACGTATATTGCAGTGGTATGATTCTTTTAATTCTTTGGGGAAGATACCCAGCAGAGGAATAGCTGGGTCAAATGGGACTTCTTTGAGGTATCTCCATACTGATTTCCACAGTGGTTTCACCAGTCTACACTCCCACCAGCAATGGAACAGTGTTCCTCTTTCCCCACAGCCCTGCCAGCATTTGTTATTGGTTGAATTCATGATAGCAGGCATTCTTTCTGAGGTGAGGTACAATCTCAGCGTTGTTTTCATTTGCATCTCTCAAATGACCAGTGATGTTGAACATTTTTTCATATGTTTATTTGCTATTTCTACTTCTTTGTCTTAGCAATGTCTGTTCATTTCAGCTGCCCATTTTTGGATTGGGTCTTTAAATTTGGGAGGTCTGATGTTTTTAAGTTCTTTATAGATTCTAGATAGTAGACCTTTGTCTGAGGAACAGCTGGTGAAAATTTTTTCCCACATTGTGGATTGTCTTTTCATACTGTTGGTGGTTTCTCTTGCTGTGCAGAAGCTTTTTAATAAGATGAGATCCCACTTGTTGATTGTTTGTGCTAGTTCACAGGCAACTGAGGTTTTGTTCATAAAATCTTTTCCTACACCAATGTCTTCAAGAGTTCTACCTAACCTCTGTTCCAGCTGGTTCAGCATTTCTGTTTTAATATTTAGATCTTTAATCCATTTTGATTTTAGTTCAGTGTGTGGTGAGAGATATAGGTCTAGTTTTAATCTTTGGCAAATTGAAACCCAATTTTTCCAGTACCCTTTATTAAAGAGGGTATCTTTCCTCCAGTGAGGTTGTTCGGCTTCTTTGTCGAAGATGAGGTGGCTGACTGTGTCTGGAGTTATTTCTGTATCTTCTAATCTATTCCACTGGTCCTCAAGTCTGTTTCTTTGCCAGTACCATGCTGTTTTTATCACAGCAGCTTTGTAGTATGGTTTCAAGTTGGAGGTTGTGATACCCCCTGCCATGTCTCTGTTGCCTAGAATCAGCCTGGCCAATTAGGTATTTAGCAAGACCCTGTCTGAAAATTTAAAAAATACAAATAAATAAATGGGCCAGGGATGTTCCTCATTGCAAAAGCCCTGGGTTCAATCCCATTACCCCCAGACAAAATTCTTGCAATGTTTTTGCTTTACTATTTCAACACAAAAGCTACATATCATTGAAAGTCAGAATTCTAGAGATGAAACCAGAGGCTGACAACTGGAAAGGAACACTTTGATGCTGTTTGGAGACTTAAGGATTATGGAAGCTCGGTCTCCTAGTTGTTATGCAGAATACAACTAAGCTTTCTATTAAGTGCAGATTGCTTTGCAAAAGTATTAAAGAAACTTAAAAATTTAGATTTGCTTTTGTATTCAGCACATAGAAACATTGTAATTTAGGAAAAAATAGTAAAATTGAAAAAATGTAATCGTATTTAATAGAATATAATTCATCAAACATTTCTTTTTTGAATGACAATTATTAAATTATTTTGGGCAATGTAGTCTTATTTAATATATAAAATATGAAAATCTTGTGCTTCTTGCCTAAAAGGTTTGGACTGGTTTTTTTCTCTTCAGTATTTAGTTATTTGCTTCTCATGTGTAATTTGGGATTGGGAAGGCTATGCAAATCTGGCTGGTCTTCAATTGTTCCTGATTATAACATGAAATATTTGTTTCTGATGATCTCAAAATTATCTCTAGATGCAAGTTTCTATACATCGAGGGAAGTGGATATAATCAGACTATCTCTACTGTCTTTGAAGGGAGTTTCCAGACATACAGCAGCAGAAACCTTACCAGAGAAAAATGAAAGAGTTACGGAATCCCCTAATGTCATGCTATATACAAAGATGCCATAAAAGAGAAAGATAAACAATAAAAGGAAAATGCAACATGAAGTGCTATCTTTCGTATTTATGTGTAGAAAAGATGCTTATTGGAAAATTCCACAAGAATAAAAGCATGAAGAAAGGAAAAAATAAGCATATTAACCACTCATCCTAGGAATCTATAAATTCCAAGTGAAGCTCCATTTTCTTCGTGTGTGATTGTAAATATTTTAGATACTACTAATACTCAGTATTGCTAAGGATAAAGAAGCAGACTACTGCCATGTGGGGTAAAAAGCATGTTAACTTTCAAATGTGTGTGTATATTCTGTAATTCTGGATTGAGCAGTTCTGTAGTTAAGAATATCTCCTAAAGGAACAATTATTAATGTGTGCTGAGAAAATTTCTGCCATGTCCCAGGGGGGTAAGTGGCTTTTTGACTAAGTTATGTGGAGCTGTGAAATGCCAAGCCACATGGGTGTGTAAGTGGCAATTTTGAAGTGGGCATACTGGCAGAAGAGTTGGTATGTGGCATATTGCCTAGGAAAATATGTGAAGGACAGTGAGATGGTGACTTGTCAAGAGCAAATAAAAACATGGATATAGATTTATGCATATATACAGAAAACAACATGGTAGCAGCAATTGTTACTGGATTGTGAGACTAAACCATATTTATCTATTTGTTTATGTACTTATTGTTCTTCCTGTATTTTTGTATTTTCTCTTAAACCCAAGAGTTTCGCTGAAAGCAAAATAAAAAAGTCATTGGCTATAGTAAGATTCTTTTCAATGTTATTTTTTTCTTCACCACAACACCCCTGAAGAAATTTAATGACGCCAATAGAAGTAGCAGTTTTGCAGTTAAAGCAGGGTATCAAGAAGGAATTTCATCCACTTGAACTATTTTATCACTGACAGTGTGTGTGTGTGTGTGTGTGTGAGAGAGAGAGAGAGAGAGAGAGAGAGACAGAGAGAGACAGAGAGAGAGACAGAGAGACAGAGAGAGAGAGAGACGCTGGGGATGGACCCCAGGGCTGTGCATGCCAGGCAAGCGCTCTACCGCTGAGCTGTGCTCCCACCACTGTCACGGACTTTGACCTTCAGTTGAGATGCTTTTGCTGGCTTTTATAATCGACATGTGAACTGAACTCAATAAAGGCAAAGGGTGTGAAAAGATGTTTTGGCAAACAAACAAACAAACCCAGATCCAAACCCAAAATCCCCAATCCATTGCCCTCAATGACAGTGGGAATAGGGGGTCACCATGGAGCAGTGAAGCCAGACGAAAGGGGAAGAGTGGTCCAGTGTCGCCCGGCTGGGACCCAGAGATGAGAGGCCCTTATGAGTACATGAGTTCAGAGTGAAGTAGGGCCGGGAAGAGGGAAGGTAGACGTGGGCCGAATTACAGTTCTGGTCCCTCCCGAGTAGACGTGTGCCCTGCTGAAAAAGAACAGCTACACCACAGGTATAGTGTGTTTTCTTTATCACAAGTATTTGTGGTAGATTTCTCAATTGTATTTTCCTTTCTGAATGTTGGACTAGGAAATGCATCTGCAACCACCACTGTGGTCGACAGCAAAAACGGATCTGTGCCCAAATCCCCTGGCAAGGTGCTGAGGAGGACAGTCACCGAGGACATAGTGACCACCTTCAGCTCCCCCGCGGCCTGGCTTCTGGTCATCGCCTTGATCATCACGTGGTCGGCTGTTGCCATCGTTATGTTTGACTTGGTGGATTATAAGAACTTCTCAGGTAGGAGTCATGGTATTCAGCTTTTAAATTAAGAGAACAATGTTCCCCACCTGCAGCTGCTTTTCCCTTCTTCACTCAAAGCTAGTGAGAGAGCTAAAATACCATGCATGTGCTCCGGGGCATTGAGGTCAGCTTCCTCCTCCCCTTTCCTTCTGTTCTCTTTGATGTATTTGGTTTCAAATGAGATCCATGCCCTTATTTTTAGAGCTGAATACAAGCCACATGCTGCACCTTCATAAGATAATGATTAAAAGGCCTAGGTAGAGAATTAGCTTTGGGACTGGTACTTTATCAACCACTGATAAAGAATAATTGGAAGATTTCATACTTGACCATATAAAAGCAGAGCAGACCAACACGAAGATTTTCAGGCAAATGGAAAATAATTTAAAGCATTTCTAAGACTCTATGTCATCGGGTCCCAAGCTTCTTCCAGATGTGCTCTTTGCTCCATCCACCAAACCATTCTGTTTTAAATTTCTGAAAGCAGAGAACATGAAAAGGATTTTCCTAGAATTACTTGAAATGAGATACTACACCTTGAGAGTCCATATGTCATTATGGAGTTGGAGTCAAACAGGAATAATACAAGGCAGAAAAGGTAGTTTTTCATTATGACATTCTGAGTACCTTGTTCATCTTTTTTTCAGAGACTTTTTCTATTTTCAAAATTATATTTATCTATTTTGACCTCTGACATTCACTATTGACTGTGATTTCCTGGATGAAAGGAATCACTTGATCTTAGCCAAAAGGCCGAGAAGCAATGGATGAAAGGAATCAATTGGGTGCTCAATTAATATTTTATGAGTAGATGAATGAATTTATTCTCCATTTCCTTTTCTCCAATAGAAGCAGAATCAATAGGACCCAGACATGATAAGTTGGTTCTCTGTGCTCTTGGACCCTCTGTTTCACACTCATTTCTTCCTTTAAGCATTACTCATCAGGAAATGTGCTGGGAAGTGGGTATGTGACAAGGACCACCATATAAATATTATAGAGGCACAGAGCTCTATTGTTTGAGTTTCAGGACATGGAGATATGGCTGTAACACTTCTGCTAGTTGAGTGATGGTAGTTAAGCTACAGGAGGCATCAGCACAGGCCGTGTCTCATGATGTCAGCCAGAGGACAATTCATCCAGTCATAAATGTCTGCTCTGAAAAGGCAATACTTTTACTTTATTGTAATAAAGGCTCTTAAAAAGAATATACAGTTGAGATGTTTCTAATATAAGATTATGACTGAGTTTTATGTGAAAAATAGCTACATTATTCTAGGAAATTCCATTTCCTTTGAACTTATACGAACTTTAATATTTCACCTAACCTTTTCTTTATTATGAATTCATTTAATTAAGTTTTAGAAGCAAATATGATCATAAAATATAGCACTTTAGCTTTTATCATAGATATAGTTTACCAAATATATATGAATCTAATATTTGTAAAGTTACTATTCTTATAAGTACAATATAGACATTATTATTGAAAATAATTTATTCTTCATTAATAAAAGCATAGCTACCTACAACTATATTTTCCATATTAGTTTGCTTAAATATAATGCATGCCTTCCATTACACCATCTTGTTCAGTGGTATAGATAACATCGTATCTATCACACTGGCATTTTATTTAATAGGAAACAAATATCCTCAGTGTAACTTCTGCTTTGTCTTTCAGTGTTTAGTAAGCACATCTTCAATGTGAGGCCAGCTCCTTCTGTTTCCTGTATTTACGAATGATGTAACTGTCTATTCATTCCCTACAAGAAAAACCGGAAATCCTTTCCTAAGTCCCCTTGGATCTGAGCACTCACCGAAGCCCACGACTTCTGAACTCGTGTGGCTCACAGATGTGACCACTCCCATCATTACCACCATCTCCACCCGCACACTTCGTGTGTCCATTCTCTCTGGAGGGTACACTCTCAGTCTCCTCTTATCACTTTCCTATGCTTTCTACCTCTTAATAATGCTGAAAAGAGATCTTCATAAAGCACAACTTGATCGAGCAAGGCCTTTCCAATTGCCTACATACAAAAACTCCTCCTCGGAATGAAGGTCAATCCCTTGGCTTAGTTAGCTCTTCATTTCCATCCTGTTCAGCATAGGTACCCCTCTTGATTCAGCCATATTGACTTCTGTTTTTCTGTTGGCCCTAGAAAAATAAAACTTTCCTCTCCACCATTCCTTCCACTCCATGCCAGGTAGAAAGAGTGATAGTGAATAGCTAAAAATATGAACTCTGGTTCATATGCCTGGTGTGAAGTTCATACCTTACTGCTTGCTAGCTCTGTGATAGGGCACTTACCCTCTCTTCAGTTCCTCATCTGGAGAGTGGGAATTCTAATGGTGCTTATATAATAAGATTGTCTAGAGGATTATACAAGGCAATATTTGAAGTGCTCAGAACAGAACCTGGTTTATTGTATCACTAGCAGTGGAGACTCATTGCTCAATAGTCTACCTTGAGAATGAATACTTATTCCTCCTTCAAAACCTAGTTCCTCTTTTGTGACTTCATAGGAAAAATGCACTGCCCCTTATTTGCATTCTCTTAGTAACTCATGGGCACCTATATCAAGAGCACTTAGCACCCTGTATTATAAACATCTCTTGCTTTGTCATTCTCTCTTAGAAACCTCAACTTATCAAAGCAAGGACTGTACATGAGTGCTTATCACATAGGTCTTCTAGTGCACGCTACTTTAAGGAATGAAGAATTTTGACATTTTAATTTTGAAACAATTTATTTTTGGTACCTGGGATTGAACTTGTGCTTGCAAGGCAGGCACTGGAACCACTGAGCTAAATCCCCGGCCCACCAATTTTTACATTGTGGTGAAACATAAAACTTTATTTCAGGGCTGGGGATTTAGCTCAGTGGCACCACGCCTGCCTCTCAAGGGCAAGGTCCTGAGTTCAGTCCCC